AGAAGGTGAAGGTCCTACTATGTCCTTTAGGTAGACATCTTCTTCATCACTGTCCCAAACCCCATTGATGGTTATATCCTCTTTTTGTTGGGTTTGGACTAGTTTCTTTTCATCAATCATTTTCTGTACCAAATCCTTGAATTTGAAACAGTTTTCTATAGTGTGCCCCCCTGATTGATGATATTGGCAGTAATATCTATCTATCCTTTTTAATGACTCGAATGGTCTCGGTTCGAGAGGTTTGACCTCGCCACTCTAAGAGAGCATTTCTAACATTTGCGCATATGGGATCCCAATTGGAGTGTAGATTATATTGCTCTTCTTCGGTTTTTCAGTGACTTTTAAGGGAAAATACTTTGCCTCATAAGTCGTTCTCACTGGTGTGAATTCTCTTTTAGGTTCTTCTTTTGGAAGTGGAAGCTCATCATATTTCTTATGGAGTTCGTTCATAACTTTGAGAGCTTCACGTAGTAGTTGCGATGCCTCCTTCATAGACAGTGTGAGCAATTGTATGTCTTACTTATTTGCCGGTTTTGGAAGGCTATCTTTGACATCGAAGAAGGTCTCCTCTTCTTTTTCTATGGCATTGATTTCTTCAACAGGTTTAATGAGAGATGAGGGGTCAATCTCGTTTTCCTCGTCGGAGATAGCCAGAGTATGAGCTAGAGGTGCATTGTCGATGCTTGGCTTCTTACTGGCAGGGGGCAACGGCAGTTTGTTATTGTCGATTAGGTCTTGGATGGCTTCTTTAAGCTTCCAACAGTTTTCAGTAGAATGGCCCCTACCTTGGTGATACATGCACTGCGCGTTGGGGTTCCAGTTAACCGACCTCTTCTCGACTGGTGGGTCCCCAAATGGTCCAATGGGAGTTATAAGACCTTTTGCATTTAATCGATCAAATGCGGTGTCATAACTCATGCCAATAGGAGTGAAGTTCCTCCTAAATGGTTTCTTCTGTCCTTGGTTGTTCATGGCAAGAACTCCTCCTAAATTAAAGGTGCTAAAATTATTTGAGTGGGAGGTTTTGGAAGAAGAAGGATTGTCGTTCTTCTTTCCTTTCCAGCCACTGTTGGAGTTATTTTTGGCAGCTTTTGACTTAGCCAAGTCATCTTCAATATTGATCCCAATGTCATAAACAACCTTAAAGGTATGGAGATTATTTTGATATTTAAGATGCTTGGAATATTTTTCTTGGAGATTCTTGATAAACAGTCTCACAGACTCTTTTTCACTTGGCACCTCAATCATTTTAGCTGAGGTTTCTCTCCACTTGTTAAAGAAAGTGGTGAAGCCTTCATTCTCTTTCTGTTTGAGGATTTCAAGTTCTCTATGGTCAGTCTCGACTTGAATGTTGCACTTGTACCTATCAACGAAAGCGTTTGCTATAGACTCCCAGGTAGAGGTCTTTTCTTTCTCGAGAGAAAAGAACCATTGTTGGCAGACGGTCTTGAGAGATAGTGAGAAATGAGAAGGGAAGACTTTCTTATCAATACCCTTGATACTCATTATTGTTTCAAATGCTCTTAAATGGAAGTAAGGGTTGTCAATTGCTCTGAATTATGGGATGTCGTTGGCGTTGAACTTCTGCGGAAAAAGATCTTTGTCAACCGAGACCCCTTGTGATGTAAGCTCTTGAAACATGTAGTCACTAGACAACTTGCTTAAACTCTCTTGCATGAGGTCCATTTGTTGTTGTTTCACGGGATCGTCGATCCTAAGTGCGAGAAGCTTAAGTGTCTCAGTCACAGTAGCCAGTTGGTTCTTAAGATCATTGACTTCTTCTTGAGTTACCATTTTGACTCTTGCTTTCCTCTTACGAGCTATAGGTTTGTCGAAAAGTTGGACTTATACGAAGAGGTTATCTTTGATTAATCGTCCTTCTTTTCTTGACCACGCTCTGTAAATTAAACCATTTTGCGTTTTAATTACTTGACTCGAATCAACTTGACTTTATGGTTTATTTTAAGGGAAAAAAGAGAAAAAGGAAAAGAGGGTGCATATTTTTGGCAAAAATAATGTATATATTTTTATGTTGGAGGATTAATATCCGACTTACCCCCCTAAAAAAATGACGGAAAAACACGCACACAAGACTCTCTTAATCATGGTCAAAGTATGTGTATTTGTGTGTGCGTTGAGTGTAAGTGACATGCTTGGACTCTTGTGTAAGACCATGGGACTTAGTGCCTAAACTCGATCATTAATTAAATTAAACATTATTGACAGCAAAATTAACCGAATTAAACAGAAAACTGATTAATTAGACCTTAGGTGATGACTTGACAAATAATCCGAACTGTCGGCCAAGCGACAGGACTGGCGTCACACTGTGGAGCTTGGCGCCAGACAACATAGCTGTCGTCAGGCGCTACACTCCATAGTGTGGCGCTACAGCTCAGACCTTGGCGCCAATAGTGAAGCTTCGGTCTGGGACTGTTTTCGGTGTTATTAGTCAACTGGGGTATGCCTAAAGTCGTATTAGGTCAATTCCGATTAAAAATATAGACTTTATTGACTCAAATTAAATAAATAATTAATTAATTAGGCAAAGTTCTTTAAGTTATTAATTTATTTAATCTCAACACAAGTCAACAAACAGTTAAGAGAAACATAGAATATATATGCACAACAAATAATGCACAATTAGTCAAGTAGGCACAATGTGATGCGATGCGTTCGCAACCTAACCATGGCTCTAGTTCTCTAAAGTTCGGGATATGGTTTAGTCAAAGAGGGTCCATGGTTAATTGTCCGGATGCACTGCGCGGAAGCCTAACCGTGAAGGGTTGGCGCGAGTGGATGGGACACCGCAAGTTTTAGAAAAAACTCGCTTCCATGGTTTGGTGAATTCAACATCTCGGATGTACCCTTTGTTGCACGGAGCGTTCAATCGGGTAGATGGAGCATGAATTCCCAGAGGGTTATATCCATATGTAGAACACATATGGGTTTCAGAAAAGTGAGAAAAAAATTCAATCAGGAAGTAGGATCGAGCAAACAATACGAAAAACCGGTCGAAATTAGAACGCAAATTTCTGGCTCGGTATTAGAGGAAATTGGCGCCAGCAATCAGAGACTGGCGCCAACTTTTAACTGTAGCGCCTGGCGCCAATACTGGCGTCTGGCGCTACGGCTAAAAGTGTGGCGCCAATCTCTGGCCCCTGACGCTACTTCCCACATGCCTCAGCAGCTTTATGTGCTCGATAAAATTTTCCAGTTTCGCGCGGTGTTATTTCAGTCCTAGTTGTGAAAGACGTTTTTCAAATTTCCTACGTGTAAAATCCTATGTTTTTAACTCATTACGGATGGTCTTTCCAATGAGATCTTTTTTATGCACATGACAATAATGTTTATCAAAATTACGCACATGAAATACTTAGAACGTTTCGAGTCTCATCCACTCATTCTAAATCATTGCCGAAACAAATTCAGGAATTAAAATAGAAATCCTCCTCAGTGGAGTCGCCAAAAACTGTAGGGAATAATTTCAAGCTTTAATCCCACTAGCTTGAACCCCACTGTGATCATACACTAAAGTACGGTGGCGTCCAAAAGGGAAGAAGATAGAGCAAAAGAGTCGCCAACAAGTTTTTTAGGAACTTGTAAACCGTTCACGAGGTGAAGGTTACACCCCTTAACGATCCAAGAGATCGTCAACTCCATAAGGTCATGAACCAAATAAGGGTTCGGGGATGAAGGTACAAATCCAACCTAAAAGAGATTGAACCTGCCCTAATAATAGGCCTCTACTTTATTCTGATCGTATTCATGTGCGCTTTCTAATTAACATACAATCAATAGGATTAACCCTAAACCTGTTTATCTATGTTGGTTGAATATTAATGCACAAATAAACTATTATTGGCGATCACTTGAATTATAATCATATTAACCCTAAACAAGATTATTAATATCTTATTAAGCATGATTACAAGTACCAATTACCTTTAAACATGCAATAAAAGGTGCGATCAAGCAATAATAATAAATATCAAGTAACATAATAAATAATCAATATCATCATAAATAATAATTATAATAAATAATCATCATTAAAATAACAATAATAATCATCATAAATTATAACAATAATCATCATAATCATGTTCATGTTAATATTAAAGCATAATAATAGCAAGATCCTAGGCATGATACTAACAAGATTAATAACAAACCCTAGCATGTCACTAAGCAATAAAAATAAAATCTTTAACCCTAACATGATACTAACAATCATAAATATTAGGAAGAACATAAGTAGCATCATACTTTTAATCGTACTTGATATTAAAGTTACCCTAGACATGATACTAGGAAGATCAAAACGCCCTAACATAACATTAGGAACCATAATAACAACCTAAGCATGATTTCTACATAATAACATCAATAAAAACCATTAAAGTACTTACTTTGATGCCTCGTACCTCTTTCTAATAACAAAATACACACGTTAGTAACTTCAAGGAAAATAATAATCAAAACAATTAAATTAAATAATTGAAAGAGAGATTTGGGAACAAACCCTCAGAAATTAAAAACCTTTCACGTCTAGGGCAAAGGCAACTTCGAATATGGCTAGGTGTTTCTAGATCTTGCGAATGCGGAATTTTGTATGAGAAAATCAAGTTTAGGAGGAGATGAATGAGAGAATTAAAAGAATGCTAACGAATGTTGATGAATGGTGAGAATTGATGAATCTTGATGAAAATTGGTGAATGAAAACGGAGACCAAGATATTTGTAATCTCCAACCTTGGTTAGCTAAAAGGGCTGCATTAAAATATTTGTAATCACGAAACCCCAAACCACCCTTAGCCTTAGGTGCATTTTTTCCATGCTATCCAGTGAATTTTCCACTCACCCTTTTTTTGACCCCACCAAAAATTCTCCACCAAAGATATCATTTCGTCACAAAAAGAAGAAGGGAATTTAAACACACTCTTCGCATAGGTTGGAATAGATTGGGTCACCGCCTTAATCAATACCTCCCGACCCGCCTTAGATAAAAAAGAAAACCCCCTTCCACCCTTGAAGTCTCTTCCACAACTTCTCTCGAATGCCCTTAGTAAGCACCCTCTTTGATCTTCCAATCACCGTTGGGAGACCAAGATATTTATCATGCACATCCACCTCCTTAACACCCATCAAATTTGCTAACTCACTCCTTCTCGCTCCACTCACACCCTTACTAAAAGATACCGTCGTCTTATCAAAATTCACCATTTGACCCGACGCCTCCTCATAAACCTTCAACACCCCTCTAATCGTGCTCACTTCCTCCGGGTTCGCCTTCGAAAAAATAATACTATCATCTGCAAAAAATAGATGCGAAACCAAAGGGGCCGTCGAAGCCACTTTTACCCCATGAAGACTACCTCTCTCAACCGCCCTAGTCAACAACCCAAACAAAGCCTCTGCACACAAAACAAACAGATACGGGGATAGAGGATCACCTTCTCGAATACCCCTAGTAGGAGTAAACTCCCCCGAAGGTGCCCCATTAATAAGAACTCTGAAAGAGACCGTCGAAACACAACGCATAACACGATCAACCCAGAGCTCCATCACTGCTCTCAAAAAACCCATTCTACCCTGTCATATGCTTTAGCCATGTCAAGATTTAGAGCCATCACCCCTCCTTCACTTCCTAACATTCTCATATGATGAAAAAGTTCAAAAGCTACCAAAATATTATCTGTTATTAACCTTCCAAAAGCACTCTAGTTCATAGAAGTTATAACAGTCAGAAAAGTTTTCAGCCGATTAGCCAAAACCTTAGTAATCAACTTATACACCACATTACACAAACTAATCGGTCGAAATTCCGTCATCTTATAAGGTTTCTTAGTCTTTGGGATAAACACAATAAATGTTTCATTAATCTGCTTTGGAATCATATCCCCATTAAGGACACCCAATACTAAAGAAGTCACAGCAGGACCCACAATATGCCAAGAAGTCTGAAATAATAGAGGACACATACCATCCGGGCCTAGCGCTTTCAAACGAATCATTTGTTTAAGAGCCATGAGCACCTCACTTGTCGTATAATCAGCGTTGAGACACTCATACATATCCTCTGTCACTCTCCTCTCCACACCTTTAAGCGCCAACTCAACATTAACAAGGGTCGAAGTACTGAACAAGTTCTGGAAATAGTTCACAGCCACATTGCCAACTCCCTCTTCATCATCACATCGAACACCATCATCACATAAGAGATGTGTAATATTGTTCTTCGTATGCCTAGCTGAAGCCTTCTTGTGAAAAAAAACTCGAATTTTGGTCCCATCTTTGAGCCAGAGAGCCCTCGAACGTTGACGCCAATAGATTTCCTCATAATGAATCAAGTCTGCAATCTCCTTCACAACTCTTCTTCTTTCTTTCACTCTTGCTTCAGTTCGGCTCCCCTTATTCAAAATGCCCAATTTTTTCCTCTTTTTTCTAATTTCTTGAAAAATTACCCCAAATTCCTTATCACTCCATGACTTTAATAATTCTGCACATAATGCTAGCTTTCCTTCCATCGAATGCTGCACTCCTACCCATGCTTGCTGTATTACATTTTCGCACTTCTCGCTCTCTGTCCAGATTTGTTCAAAACGAAAGGGCCTTTCCTTCTTTCTAGATGCCCCATACCCCTCATCTAGTAGAAATTTAATGGGGGCATGGTCAGTCCATTCACGCTCTAGGTGGTGAACCTTAGCCCTCGGGAAAGCCTCGAGCCTTTCTTGACGAGCAAGTGCCCTATCCCACCTGCACTGCACATTATCTTCGCCAAATTTCCCATTGTCAAATGTAAATTCATAACCCGAGAAAGGCATAAATCTCAAATTACAAAGATCAACAGCCTCACAAAAATTTTCCATTAGCCAAAGAGCCCGATCTCGCCCTCCTTTTTTCTCCGAATCTGCAAGAATTTCATTAAAATCCCCCATACAAATCCACGCACCCTCCTCTCCCAAAGCTAACTCCTCAAGTAACTTCCATGATAAGTGTCTATTTTGAACCTCTGGCCACCCATAAAAACCCTTAAAACGCCATCCCACATTCCCTAGTCCCTCCACCTTGACATCAATGTGATGAATAGACATTGATCTCAATTCCACCTTCAATCCTTTGACCCATAAGAGAGCCACACCCCCCGATCTTCCATTACTATCAAATGCAACCCCATCATACTAATGAGTATCATTTATGGCGCTCATAGGGTAGTCTTTTAGGATGTTTTCATCTCCTTTTTATGCTTTGTTATATTATTTTTGGTCCATTTTCCTTTAATTCCTTTCTTTCTTTCTTTCCTTGTGTTTTTCGTGTTTTCTTCGTGTTTTCCTTTTATTTGGTTCTTTTTCCCTTTTATTCCTTTCCGTTGTTTGTTCTTGTAGGTACCTAGGATTTTTCTTTGCAAGGGAATCAAGATAGGCTATATTGACTAAGCAAGGAGGAAGTAATCGGCTTGGAGAGGGCTCGGAGAGGGCTTGGAGAGGCCTTGGAGAGGGCATCAAGCCCTACCAATTTGCCGCGGGCACGGGTTCTGAAGGCCGCGGACTCGTATGCACCAAATTGGCCAATTTCGACCAGGAACTCTCCGCGGGCTCCCTGCGGGCGCGGGTAGTATGGAGAGACCGCTCCAGATCGGAGAGACCGCTCTAGACCAGAGAGACCGCTCCAGACCAGAGAGACCGCGGCCCTCTGATCACCCTTTGGGAGCAGGGGATTCGCCACACCCTTGTCGCGGGTGCGGAGGCCTTTGACGCGAGCGCGGGCTAGAAGACCCGCGGGCGCGGGTGTTGCCCAGATAGCCCGCGGAGTTTGTTATGGGTTACGTACCCATTTCCCCGCGGGCGCAGGGTTTACTAGAGAGGGCGCGGGGATCCCGTTTTTTTTTCTTTACCTATAAATACACTTGTAATTCCTTTTTAAAAACAACTTTTAGATTATTTCATTAGCTTAGTTTTAGAGAGAGAAATTAGAGAGAAGTTCTTGGTGTTGGATTTGTATTTCAACATTGGATCAATTGTGCTTGGATTTCTTCATTTTCAATCATTAATGTTAGTAAGAATTTCTTCTTCTAGTTCGTCTCTTTACTTGTTTATTTTAGTTTCATGTTTGATTGTTTGATTTTCTTGGATTTGTATTGGATATTGTAGTTGATATTTTTTTTTCTTGATTTTGATTTAGAATGATGATCAATGCTAATTCAAGTGATTTGTTCTTGAGTTACACCATGATTAGTGAGTAGATTAGTTACAGTAGGCGTCGTTTGAAGTGCGCCTACGTTAAAAGCATGTGTGAATATGCTTGGCACTCATAGGAAGTGGGAATTGACATACGATTAGGGACAAGGAAAGTAGGGAGCCGCCAACAAGTTTTTAAGGAACTTGTAAACCGTTCACGGATCATAAAAGGCAACCACGATAAAGGGACAACAAAGACAACAACGATTGACCCGTGAAGGTTACACCCCATTCATAATCCATGAGATTACTAACTCCATGTTGTTTGGAACCACGAAAGGAGGATCGGGGATGATGGTACAAAGTGAGTCATGGAGTCACATTCGCCCGTATTGGCCTCTACTCGATTCTTAGTATGAAAAGTGATTCCTGCGATCTCAAAGGCATGCAAACAAGGATTCAATTCGCTCCAAACTATTATTAAGCTAAATTGGTTGAATATTAATGCAACACATAACTCTAAAATATTGTGATCACTTGATTAAATAACAAGATTAAAAAGGAACCTAAACCGGTTGTCCAAATTATCTTATTAGGCGTGATTTTCAATTACATATTTCCTTTAAACATGCAATATGGTGATCAATAAAAATAATAGAATTCTCATTAATATTGGAAGCAATTTAAAAATAATAGTGTTAGTAAAATCAAATATAAAATAACCTAATCATGATACTAGCAATACAAAAATAAAATAAGAGTAATTAAATTAATTAATTACTCATTTTCCGCGTTTTCTTGAATTGCTACATCATGAATAAACCGTTAGTAACTTCAATAAAAATATAAATCAAATGAAAATTAAATTAAATTAAATAAATGTAGAGTTGATTTGTTCCAAACCCTCAGTTAATTATAACTTTCGCGCCTTAGTTTAAGTATAGAACTTCGGGTATTGTATGGACTCCTTGGAGCGCTTAGGGGAAGTATTATGAGAGAATAGTGTGGCTAGTGTTTAGGCTAAAGAGGGAGAAGAGAATTATTTGATAATAAAACTTGTTGATGATTGGAAAAGGGGTGATATGACCTCTATTTATAGAGAAAAAAAGAAGGGTCGAAGAATTAAGATAAGATCCAAATTAAATCGAAATAAAACTCGATAGACAACAGTTTTTACGGTTTTTGTTTTTATCATATCTTTTTATCCAGAATTGGAATAAAATGAATAAGATATTGTTGGAAAGCTCTTGAAGTATACTTTCTAACACAATTAGAATCGGATAAAAATATTTTGTAGAACAAAAGATATAGCCAAAATAGTGGGACGGTGTCAGTTTTAGATAGAGTTTGACATTTTATTCATATATTTTCCGTTATACTCGTAGATCGGAATTGATATTATAATATATCATTGGAAAGATAATTTCAAGAGCTATCCAACCATATAAAATTTGGATAAAAACTATGATGCACGAAAACAATATCTGTCTATCTTTGAACGTCTTTCAATTCGGATATAAATAGAATTTTAAAAAAAAAGGAGTTTTATTCAATTTCAAACTATTTAATCTTATCTTTTCAAAAAGGATAATTAATATCTTTTAGAAACTTATAGAAGTTTCCAATTAATCCTAATTGGTTTAGGAATGGGATTAAATAATTTGGACCCTCCACATGATCATTGGGTCGTAGGTAAGGTGGGCTTAGGTTCGGTTTGGGCTCAGCTTAATATTTTGGTCATAACTTATTCGTTAAAACTCGAATTTGGGCTTATAATATATCGTTGGAAAGCTCTTTTAAATCCCCATCCAACTATTCAATAATTGGACCCAGATTATGGACCAAAATAAACTAGATCAAACGTTTTTATAATAAGGACACGAAATGAATTATTTTAAAGGACACGAAATGAATTATTTTGAGTTTAAAGGCACGAAAATAGGAAAATAAGTTATGGTTTGGGGAAATGGGCTAGGAATTGAGTTGGTTTATGAAATGGAAATATGGATTTAGGCACTCCAAAAATTAAATACTCAACTCGACCAATAATGGCGATGAAAGGTTGTTCATCATCGGGCTTGGTTTTGGGGAGACATTTTTAGGTGTCTACAGAAGCCCCCACTTTGACTGAGTTTGCAGAAACGTCAGTTTCAAAAACGATAGTCAAAGTAGTCGATAGGATGGAGAATGATTTAAGACTTTCTGCGATCCTAAATCACTCTGTATACGCCGACACCTGCAAAAAAAATGTTAGTTTCACAGATAAAAGAGTAAAGGGATAGAATGCTTACTGACACCAGTGTATTGGTGACAAATGAGTTTGGTAGCTTCCTATGCTTGAAGGAATCCACCGGATGACGTTTGTTGAAATGCTTTCCATGCTTGAGGAAAGCCATCAGATGAGTTTGG